GCTTTCGAACCTCGCAGTTCGAAAGCGAGAAATTGCAAGTAGATAAAAAGGTACCACTTCGGTGGGAAGGTCACAGCCTTCCCTGCGCCTTGGTGTTTAGTCATGTCGGCCACATTGACCACGGAAACATCTTTGGACAGCGCTGGCTCTTCGGCTTGGAAACGGAGATGAGCCCCGCAACCCTAGAGTCAGACTCGACTGGCTTTCGAGCAAGGGAAACCTTTACTGGCACCCAGGACTGGGCCCCAGGACTCTAGGCGAGCCCTGGTTAGCACCCAGGATGGTGGAGCTCTTCTGACTCAGGGGCTGGGATCCTGCGCTTCCATCCATCCAGCCCGGAACGGACTTTACGTTTTTTGCAGCCGCTTCATGCGGCTGGCTGCCGTTCAGCTGGTAGTCGGCTTTACTCTCGGCATCTCGTCTCCCGCTGTTCAGGCCAGGGATCATAGAATCCTGGAGTCACAGAACGTTAAGAGTTGGAAGGGACCTTGCAGGTCATCTAGTCCAACCCCCTGCACTCTGCAGGAAGAAGAAGAAGACGAGAAGAGATTGGATTTATACCCCATGGCCCTTCACTACCCAAAGGTGTCTCAGAGCGGCTGACAAACTCCTTTTCCCTTCCCCTCCCCACAACAGACAGACACCCTGTGAGGGAGGTGGGGCCAAACTGGCATAGCTGAAAGACAGCCCTACAACATACCCGAAAGATGGTCGTCCAGCCTCCGCTTGGAAACGTCCAGTGAAGGACCCTCCACCACCTCCCGAGGCCGTCTATTCCACTGCTCAACCACTCTGACAGTTGGAAAGTCTCTCCGGATCTTTAGCCGGCAACGACCCCCCTCCCCACCCCACATCCGCTCGGTGGATTTTTTTCTGCCTGAAGACGGAGCTTTCTGTCTGTCTGGATTCCATTTTGTTCATGTCAGCCCAGCTTCTACAGCCTGGCGAGGTCATTCCGAATGTCATTCCCGTCTTCTAAGACCGTTGGCGACTCTGCTCCCATGGCAGAATCGTGTGCAGCTTTGGGAACGGTTCCCTCCAACCCTGCGCCCAGCTCTGAGGGCAAGTGTGGAACAGGACTGGTCCTCCAACAGAGCCCTGCGCCAGCCCCTCCTCCCCCATCCCGGCTGAGGTGTCCCCCCCAGAGAGAGGAAATGCTACAGATGATGCACGCTCTTGGAGGAAGGCCCCTGGCAGGACCCTGTAGTCTCACCCCCGCCCAGCCAGTCGGTCCCCGCCGGACTTTGTCCGGCTCTTTGCGGAAATCAAGGTCAGTTTCACCCACAGCATTCCCCGCCATTCTCTTATGCTCTAATAACAGATAAAAGGACGTCCTTCTTCACCCAAAGAGTGATTCACACGTGGAATTCACTGCCACAGGAGGTGGCGGCGGCTACAAGCATGGATGGCTTCAAGAGGGAATTGGATAAACATCTGGAGCAGAAGTCCATCAGTGGCTATGAGCCACAGGGTCTAGATAGGAACTCTCAGTGGGGCAAGGGATGCTCTGTCTTCTTGGTTCTTGAGGGGGGCAAGAGTGGGAGGGCTTCTGGTGTCCTGGCCCCACTGCTGGACCTCCTGAGGGCCCCTGGTATTTCTGGCCACTGTGTGACACAGAG